GGCCAAAGTCAGGAGCTGGAATCTCAATCCACGTTGCCCGCATGGGTGTCAGGGATCGATGTACTTTAGTCAACACATATTACCTCCCAGGGTGCACATTAGTGGGAAACTGATGTAGAGAGTGGATCTGGGACCCAAACCCAGGCAAACTGATAGGGGACACAGCCATCCCAAGCAGTGGCTTAACCACTGGGCCAAACACCCACCCTTATCTGAGCATATTAACACAGCATGTTGTACACCTCCTATACAGTCAACTTTTTAAAGGTCTGTCTTAGCCCCTTGCAGGCCTTCACCTGCCTCTGAAAACACCACAGCTCACGGTCCTGGAGGTCTCTAACAGCCCCAGGAAAGATCAACACAGCAGATTACCAGTGATTTTTGGAAAGCGTGTTTCTCTCCTGCAGGATGTTTACATGCCAGATATCCTATAAACGAAGAAATGAGGAAACCATATAAAAGTGTGCTAGGCTGCAGCTTTGTTTTGCTTTTGGTTCTCATTCTGACTCCAACTCCAGGCAGTCCCCATTGGCAGAGAAATGCCGGCCTAGTCATAGCCTGGCACGCTGGGCAGAAGCAGGTGTGCAGGAAGGGCTCCAGGTGGGGATGTCCAGTGTGTGGGAGAGGAACCCAGGGAGAGGGAGAGGGAGAGGGCAGGTGGGCAGTAGAGGCACCAGCCAGTCCGGATACGGAGCAGGAAGCAGAGCTTCCTCTTGTGCTCATCACCTGGATCCTCCTCCCTGTATGTTTGGATCATCAGTCACACCCCAAGCCAGCTGGGGGACAGCTCCAAGAGGGCTCCCCCAACTAAAGCCCCACCTCAACGGCCCTTTTTGCCTCTTGTCCACCTTCCTTGGAGGGTGCGAAGGGATAGAAAAGTATCTGAATAATAAATCCTGAATTTGGAGATGGGGCTGTTCTCCCTGTCTTCTTCTGTATTTTGTTGCTGTAACAGAAAGCTAGAAACTGGGTGATTTATAAAGAAGATGGTTTAAATCGGCTCGTGGTCCTAGAGACTGGGAGATTTGAGGTTAAGGGGCACTTCCCGTGCAGGTTTCTTGCCTGTGGGGACTTTCTGCAGAGTCCCAAGGCAGTGCAGGGTAAGGGAAGGATACATCCAACAGAGTCAAGAGGACTTTTATATTAGACCCGCTCTCTAGATAATTCACTAAACCATTAATCCAATAATGATGAAAGTCAGAGTCCTGAGAACTCATCAACTATTAAAGTCCCTCTCCATGCCTCTACAATGGGGATTACATTTCAATGTGAGAGCTGCAGACATTTGGCCTAGGAGCTAAGATGCCAGTTCCATTACCCTGTCCCATATGGGATTGCCTGGATTCAATTCTCATCTCCAGTTACTGATTCCTGCCAGTGCAGGCTCTGGGAGGCAGCAGGGACGGCTCAAGAAGTTGAGTCTCTGCCACCCAATAAGGGGGACCTGGATGGAGTTCCCAGCTCCCAGCCCCACCAACAGCCCAGACGTGGCAGGAATTCTAGGTATGAGCTAGTGAATGGGAGCTCTCGTTCTCTATCATCTATCTATCTATCTATCTATCTATCTACCTACCTATCTCTAATAAACAATTTTAACATGAGATTTGGTGGGGACATTCAAACCATAGCGGTCCCCCCAAGCAATCTCTTTCCCTTAATTTCTTCCAGCACTTACAGCCTGATAATGACAACTGCACACTGTATTATTTCTTACCCTGCCTTATTCACTAGTGCTGCTTGGTTAACTTGGCCTCTCCAACTCCAGCCCAACTTCCTGGAGGACAGAGAATAGCATAGTTTTTGGTACCATTTCTCCCCACCACCCCCACCACCCCGACCCATTAACCTCAAGTTGAGCTCCATGAGTTGATGAAAATGAACTAGGAGCAGTCACACACATGATGACAGGCTGGCCCAGATATGTAAAATACTTGCCCAAAAGAACCACAGTAAAAGAGCCTGGCATGAGTAGGTTTCTTTTGACAGACAGTAAAATTCAGCCTCAAGCGGAAGCTGCTGCTAGAGTGTGTGGGCTGGGGAGGTGTCGCCAGTTGCAGCCTGGCTTCCTCTGTGGCCAGTCTTAAGAGAGGCATTCAAAATAGGTGGAGTGCAAGGTTTGTTCCCTGGAACAGGGTAGGGGATGTCCCCTGTGGCCAAATGAAGTTGAATCAGTGTCTGAAAGGAAACCCAGATTCTTCCCTCCAGGTGAGGACTACTCCAGGTGCTCCCATCACAGACAGCCAGCAGCCACTCAGGCACAACAGGACATCCAGGCGACTAGAGGCAGCAGGGGGCTGGCCCCACGTTCCCTCTTCAGTACAGGTCAACGCTCCGGGACACCTGAAGACACCAGGGACTGCCAAAGGCCATGGCAGCAGCAGCAGCAGCAGCTAACACTGATCCCTGGCAAAAGCTGGAAACTGTACAAGGCCAGAGAACGTGACAATAGAAACTCTTTTGTCCAGTTTGCTGGTAAGTCTACTTCTTCACACTTGACACCAGCAGAGATAAGCAGCCCACTTCCCAAGTGTAGTTGTAATTCACCAATTTTTAAAATTGCACCATCACTTCTCCATGAGTCCCCTCCCTCCACACCTGCCAACACACTACATCCACCCCCACCTCCCTATATTCCATCACTAAAGCTTGAATGGGGCTTCACTCTGGGCACTCTGGGCACTACTTCTCTGTGCCACACCTGGCCCAAAAGTTGGAACAAGGCTAGAAAGGTGGAAAGTGAGCAGCAGCCACCTGTACAACGACTCTCACCAGAGGTTTCCAGTAAACAGTGAACTGTCAGTTTCATAAAATTGTGTATTTCGTTACCTCTTTCTGCAAATCTTTCTTTGGAGAAAAGATACAAAGCAGAGCTCCTTCCGATGACCCTGCTGCTTCAGTTTAGACTAGAATCTACTCTCCCCTCCAACTCTGAAGGACCTGTGATGTGTGATCTCTGCACAAGCTGTCAATGCCATCTTCTTGTCCCTTAAGAGTTAATGAACGGCCGGCGCTGCGGCTCACTAGGCTAATCCTCCGCCTTGCAGCGCCGGCACACTGGGTTCTAGTCCTGGTCAGGGCACTGGATTCTGTCCCGGTTGCCCCTCTTCCAGGCCAGCTCTCTGCTGTGGCCAGGGAGTGCAGTGGAGGATGGCCCAAGCACTTGGGAGACCAGGATAAGTACCTGGCTCCTGCCATCCTATCAGCACGGTGCGCTGGCCGCAGCACGCCAGCCATGGCGGCCATTGGAGGGTGAACCAACGGCAAAGGAAGACCTTTCTCTCTGTCTCTCTCTCTCACTGTCCTCTCTGCCTGTCAAAAAAAAAAAAAAAAAAAAAAAAAGAGTTAATGAAGAAGTAACTCACTGGCGTCATCCCTGTCCCATAGCCAGAGAATCCCAGACTTAAATTCTGCTCTTTGGATTTAGGGTGTTTCTAATGGATTTTCTTTTTGTAACTTCAAGTATTTATCTATTTAATGTATTTGAAAGACAAAGACACAGAGATGTCTTCCCCCTTACTGGTTCACTCTCCAAATGTCCCCAAAGCAGGGGCTGGGCCAAGAGGGAGCCAGGGATCCAAGGGCTGGGAGCTCAACCTAGGTGTCCCATGTGGGAAGCCAGGACCCAAATACTTGAGCAGTCCCTGCTGCCTCCCAGGGCATGTATTAGCAGGAAGTCAGAATTGGGAGGAGGGGCGGTGCTTGAATCCAGGTACTCTGATAAGACAGGCAGACGTCTCCAGCGCTGCACCAAATGGTCACCCCAGATCCTGGCCTTGAGGAGCCAAGGGAAGGGGCGAAAACTTGTGTGTGCAGTACTGTGGGTCGGGGTCTCCATCGATCCGGAGTCTGGGGGTGTCATCCTAAATTCTGCTAACAACTGGGCGCAGCACCACGCAGCCCGGGACCCCAGAGCCCTCCACGCTCACTGACCCAGACCCTCCATCCCCAACCCCTCTCTCCTCCAAAATGGCTTCAGAATTCCCAAATTCTGATGTAGATGCTGCACAGGGTATACCAGCGTCTCCTTAGAGTCTCTCGCGGCTGGGCCCACAGTGGCGGTTAACCCAGATCCGCTCCCCAAGCGACTTGACCTTCACTCTGAGAGTGCAGCTGCTACTGGAACTGCAATTTCCTCTCCTCTGCTTACATATCTGTATAAACCCCTTTATGGGTTAGCAAATGAAATTTTATAAAGACAAGTGTGTAGGGGTTCCCACGAAAGCTTGAACAGGGAGTGGGAGCACCCGGAGCGCGGAGCCTCAGCAGCCCCGGGGCGCTTGGGGACTTGGGGGCTCCGGATCCTGGGGCCCCGGGGTGGGGGTGCTGAGCACAGAGGGCTACTGCGGAGCTGAAGGCGTTGTTCCAAGCGCCAAGGATTTGGGACCCGGCCCGGAGACGCCCCACGCCGCTGTGTTCGGCTCCTGGAAGGAATTGGGGTCCCCAGCCCCGGACTCTCCCTGCCTCTTGCCATAGCCAGCCCGGTCCCGGACTGCGCATCCTCGGTTTCCCAGCCCCCTGGGGTGTCTGCAGGCCGGGCTACTTGCACAGCAGCAGGTGCGTAGGCGGGGCGCGCAGCATTTAAGGCGGACACCACCTCCCCTGGGCAGCGGCTGGCGATCGGCTGCGGAGGTGCGCGCAGGGCCCGCGTGGCTGTGGGTATCTCCTTCGCCAGCACCGTCGCCACTACCAACGCCGCCACCGCGGGACCCTACCCCCGCATCGGTCGCCGCCGCCACAGCAGGTCCCACGACCCCTCCTGCCCTCCGCGCCCCCTGCCCGCCGACCCGCGGCGCCTCCAGCGCGACATGCGCCAGGTGTGTGAGGAAGTGACGCGGTGCGGACTGGCGAGAAGTGCGGGAAAGGGTGAAGGGCTCCGTCCGGGGGTCTTTACTCTGCAACCCTGTTCCAGCCGCCGAGCACCCGTGTGTCACTCGGGAACTGGCTGGGTAAAGAGGTCAATCCAGACACGCGGGGAAGGAGTTCCAGGGGTCCTGGGCCAGCTCCGCCCTCGCACCTGCGGGCTCGGATTCGGAGAAACGTGCTAGACTGGAGCTACACGTATGCGTGGCGGTCTGAAAAATGCCCCAGGCTCGGGTCTGAGGGGCCCAAGTCTATGCACCGCTGGTGTGACCCCGCAGGGCAACCCCGCGGTTAACTTCTCTCCTGCCCACCCCTAGAGGTGTCTTCCTGGGAAGACGATGGCAGGCGGTGCCCACCGAGCCGACCGTGCAACAGGGGAAGAGAGGAAGGAGGGAGGTGGGAGGTGGCGCGCTCCCCACAGCCCTTCCCCTCCTGGCCCTCGAGGGTGTCCGGTCCCACTCAAGGCAGCTGCGCAGAGCCTGTGCAGAAAACCCACCTGGGGCCGGTATTGCACTCTGCTTCTCTTTCAGAGAAAGCTGGAAATTTACTCCGTGGAGCACCATGCAGCTACAGATATCAAGAAGAAGGAGGGGCGAGATGGCAAGAAAGACAATGACTTGGAACTCAAAAGGAATCAGCAGAAAGAGGAGCTTAAGAAAGAACTTGATCTGGTCAGTAGCCTTGGAAAGGGCTCCCGCGGACTTGGTCCTTTCCCTCTGGGAGTTGGCCCCTTCACCGGCCTCTTACAAAAGAAAAATCAGGCTCAAGGCTTTGGAATCCCCCTAACAGTCGTTTCCTTGTGGATTTTTTTTTAGATGTGATAATATGTTTCCGGGTCTCAGGTCCTCTGCAGGATGCCTGAGCTCTGGTTGAAGGCAGTCCTGGGGAGAATCGGGAGGCACAAATCCCTAACTCCCACCCCACAGGCATGGCCCAGAGGTCTCCCTGTCTGCTTCAACGAGATAGAAATAACCAGCTGCCCGTTTTTAGTTGGAAAAACTATTTGGGCTGGCACCTGCCAGGAAGAAAACCCAAGCTACTGGACCTTGTTAGGTTTGGGGGGTGTGTGCTGCCTGGGTGAGAAGGACTCAGGCAGTGAGAATGTTGCACTTGGAACCACTTAGGTTCCTCACAGCCCATTCTCCATAGTCTGAGCTGTAAACGATCTAGCCTCGTGGAAGCTCACAGAAAATGGGAAATAAAAGAATCTGTAGGGATCTGTGAGGAGAAAAGCGAGGTACAAGTCTTTAGAAATTAAGATGCTTTCTAGGAGTGCAACATTGTTATTATCAAGGATGAACTCTGGAGTTATTTCAACTGGGGTTATTTAATAAGTATTAATAAATTCATTAGATTACTTACTGAATAAAGAGCTGCTGGGGATCTGAAAGGTGACAGATTGCATCTCAGGAATGTCAGGGAGGGAGAGAGATTTTGCTGGATTGCCCTCCAGCCCCTCACAGACGTTACGGCTCTATGACTGGTAGGCAGCCGCTGGGCTGGCAGAGGCCAGCATGCTCAGGCTAGACAACTGATTGTCAAATATTCAGGAACTTGGCGAGCCGACTGAGATTCTGTTCACAGCTGGAAATTTGGCTCTGGTCAGAAATCAGTGGTTGCCTTGAACCAGAGCCATTTGTTTATCTTGCCTGGAGTTCCCATGTGTGAATGACACTCACTAGTTTCCTATTTTGAAAAAAATTGGGATTAAAAATGGTGCCTGCCACCAGAGGTTATTAAGAAGATTAAGTGAGATAAAGCAGGAAAAAAGCACTAGTCAATAGTCATGGTTATTTCCTATGTATCTCTGGCATTTAAGATTAAAAACACATCTGTTCTTCCTTGAAATTGCTCTTGTACCATTCTCTCGTATACCTATTGGCTAGATGAAAATCCCCCTTTTCTGAGCACTTTATGAGGATGTATGATACAATATAGAAGAATAGCTTCCATTGTATTAGGCAAAAAGTTCCCCTTCCTCCTTGCTGGGAAAAAGAGCTCCTTTCTTTCCTTCCTTGTTCTCAAGCTCCTCACAAGAATTCTGCAGTTTGCAAGAGTGCACTTCAATACTGCTGCCTCTCCACCTTTCCTGCAAATCAGAGCCTTGATAACTAAGCACCCCTGGCTTCTGAATAAAGGACTCCGCTGCAGGGTGCTTCCCTGTGCTAAGCCAGCTAGCTGGCAGAAGGCACCCAGACACCCAGCACTCCTCACACCACTTAACTCGCAGGCTCCCCTCCAAGTCCAGGCTGGAAAGACAAGAAAGGTAGAGTGCTTTGCCTCACAGTGCTACCAGGTCTGCGGTCCATCCACACAAATCTTTACTACTGTGTCTGCCCAGTGCTCACACAGTCTGCCCTGTAACCTTCCATGCCCCTAGCAACAACACATCCCAATGACACTGGCACAATGCCTGATGAGCAGAGCAGAATCTGACTGAGAAGAGAGCCAGAAACAAAATAACAATACGTCATCTTTTATTGGAAGGCTTAATTTCCTAATGCAACATGAACTATTACTTTTTAGCATGCATTTAAAAAGAGAGATGGTTCTAGTACCAGTCACAGCATAAATCTTCATTTCAGTGAATCAGGGTATGAAGAATCCTGAGTGCTGGGGTTTTCTTGGGGGTAGGAGGGTGAGGAAGATATGCCACTGGATTTTCTGCTATAGGAAGAGGTTTCTTTTCATCCGTTAGCCCCGTGGTTCTTGAAAGGAGAAGAGTGAGTGGATTTTGTCCCATCCCTTTCCCCCACAAAAACGCATTGGCCCAAACGTTAGGAAGTCTGCATTAGTCTAATTAGTCTAATGATTCTGTGGCAAAATCTGCAAGTGTGAGCCATACTGGTATGGTTTGTTTGTCGGGTTTTTAGTCCCTACCAGTGAACTTGTTGCATTTCATAGGGCAAATAAGGGAAGGTGTGCTTCTTTCTGCCAGAGACCACCTAGGAGCAATGAGGAGTTGTCCAGAGAAAGTGGGTCTGGTTTGTTTTGCTCCTCAGCCTCAACCAATCCTAGAATTCAGGTCTGAATGAAGTATCCAGCTTGCTGGTACTTGGAAGATGTGCTAGAGATGAGATTGACATGATATGTGACTTCGTTGATAAAAATTACAGATGCACCAGGTAGCCAGCAGCAGGTGTAACCTGAGCTCTTTGGGCTGGCCATGGTGCAGGACAGGGCTCTCCTGTAGCAGTGTCTTCCCTGGCTGCACAGCTCCTGGCACCAAGGGTCCCTGTGTTCCTTTCCTGCACCCTCCAGCCCCTCCTAGCCACAGTGCTACTCCAGCTGTCAGGGGGTGGTCAGAGCTTGGGCTTTGAGTCATTTAGCATTATGTCACTCATTCTGCTCCTCTTCTGATTGTGCATTTCAGGATGACCACAAACTCAGCAATAAGGAGCTGGAAACGAAATATGGCACAGACATCATTCGGGTAAGTTATAAGGGAAGTGGGCATCAGGCAAGGAAGCCTGCGGACTACAAAGGGGAAAGCTATATGCTCTGCATGTGTGGAAAAGTAAGAGGGCACCTTTGGGGCAGGTGGCCTGCCACACGTTGCAGTCATGGGCACACATGTTTGGCTTCCCATGCTGCACCAAGGCTATGGCTGTGTCCCTACACAGAGGGCAATGCTTGGTTGTAGAGAGTTCTTCCATCTGTGACTGCAGGAAGGCTGTGGTGCCTAGGAGATATGCGATTGGATGCTTTTAATCTCTGCCTCCTGGGAGTGTAATGAAGGAGAAGCTGGGGGATCCAGTATTAGAAGGAAAAGACCCAGGGGTGCGGTGTTTGGTGCAACAGTTGAGACACCACTTGGTACACTCTCCTCCCATATTGGAGTGCCTAGATTTCATATCCCACTCTGGTTCCCCACTCCAGCTTCATGACAGCACAGTCCCTCTGAGGCAACAGGAAATGGCTCCTTAGGTTCCTACCACCTGCGTGAGAGGCCTGGATTGAGTTACCAGCTCCCAGTTTCTTCCTGGCCCAGTCTTGGCCATCATAGTAGCCATTTGGGGAGTGAACCAGAAGACAGGAGTTTCTCTCTCTCTCTCTCCCTCTCCACCCCCCACCCCGCCCCCATCACATTTTTTAAAATTACAAAGAAGAAGACACAGACCCAGAGCAACATCTGAAACCCTGCTGGTCAGCCAGACCCCCTGAGAAGGGATGATAGCCCCAGGCACACCTCTGTGATTTTTCTGCCTCTTACATATTCTCTCCCCACTGGAGCACTGCTTCCCTCTGGGAATTCAAGTTCAAATTACATTTCCATAGTTTTTGTTTATTGACATCAGGAGGTCTGGATACTGAGTGTACATCTGTGTAAATCAATACAAATCCCTACTATGTGGTTCACATTGGACTGGCACTGGGGCAGGTGACCTCCCTGACCTTAAGGAGGCAGCTGGGTAGGGAAGTGAACATCCAGCCTATCCCATGCCAATGGCCAATGAATGGTTGAGACCATCTGTTGGGAGAATGATGAATTCTGACCAGAGGGACCAGGGAGCGCAGAGTTTCTAAAGAGGGAAGCAACTTGATACAATTCACTTTCACCAGGCAATTCTTTAAGTGGAAGGTGGAAGCTTCTAGAAAAATGAAATAAACCAGGACTGTGAAATGGGGATCCCAAAGAGGGGAGCCCAGTAAGATGGGAAGGAAGGGGACAGGTTTAAGAGGGAGTTCACAGAAATAACCAGTAGCTCTTGGGGGATACTTTTTGAGTGAATCCCTAACTCAAGTTAGAGAAGTAGGAGGCAGAGATTTGGCCAAGTTGGGGCGGGGGGCAGCTGGGTGAAGGTGAGAGATTAGAGGAGGTGGTAGGGAGGAGATGATGGTGAGTTTTATTTTAAATTAATCAGCCCTCAATATCCATAAGGTCCCTCCTTGATAGTAAAATCCACAGGTGCTTTAGTCATTTATATAAAATGGCATACTACTTGTATATAACTTGTATGCATATCCTCCCTTATACTTTAAATCATCTCTAGATTACCTATAATAACTAATACAATGTGAATGCTATGTAAATAGGTGTTGTATGGTATTATTTACAGTACAAAGAAAAAAAGTCTGTACATGTTCACTAAATATGCAACCACCACAGGATCCAAGGTTCATTGACCCCATGGGCCTGGAACCCATGGATACAAAGGGCAGATTATATGGTTAGGAATGACTCTGCAATATCTGTGCAGAAATGACCAACAGTTATTGAGAAGGATGAGCCAGGGTTCTAGAAAAGGATTGTGGTTAGAGGGTGATGGCATCAACTTGGTGACCAAGAATCCAGCTACTCAATAATTACGGGAGTTCACTAGTCACTTAAAAATAAAAAAGCATTAGACCCTAAAAAAGACACAGAAAACACAGAAATGATCAAGACAGAGTCCTTGCCATTATGTAGCTGGCAACATAATTAGGGAGAAAATGTGTGTACAAAACTAGTCCCATAAAAGGTAGTATTTGGTGGGGGAAGCCCTATGCAAATGCAGGATTTTGGAGTGCGGGTATCCTCTATGCACCTGTGAATGTCACTCTAGATCTTGGGTGGGATTGGTAACTGTTAAAACAAACAAGAACTGGGAACTTAGAATGCATATGTAGAAAAGTACCAGAGTAAAGATGGAAAAATCAGCCCACATGGTCTACAGAGTTCCAGAATCAGTTGTATTTTCTTCAGGGTCACTGCATTGTCCTTAATCCTGATGACAAGCTCCTTTATTTCAAATACTCCTTATCCAAGTTACTTCCTTCTGTGGATGAATCTCTAGAATGCTAAAATGCCTAAACATGCAGGGGGCTTTGAACCGGTCACCTGGCTGAGTTCTGGTGCCACTTTTTAACATTTTTTAAGATTTTATTTATTTATTTGAGAGCTACAGTTACAGACAGAGAGAAGGCAAGGAGACAGAGAGAAAGGTCTTCCTTCTGCTGGTTTACTCCCCGAATGGGTGCAATGGCTGGAGATGAGCCAATCTGAAGCCAGGAGCCAGGAGCTTATTCCAGGGCTTCCACGTGGATGCAGGGGCACAAGCACCTAGGCGATCTTCTAACTGCTTTCCCAGGCCACCACAGAGAGCTGGATAGGAAGAGGACATGAACTGGCACCCATATGGGATGCCTGCACCACAGGCAAAGGCTTAGCCTACTACACCACAGTGCCAGCCCCCTGGTGCCACTTCTTACCAGCCAGGTGACCTTAGGAAGGTTATGTCACCTCCGTGTGCCTCACATTCCATGTCTACAGATGAGAATAATAATAGTATCCTCTTCAGAGCCATTCTGAAGACTAAGTGAGTAAACTCATGGGGTATACTTGCTGGCTATCAGTATTAAATATTCCTTCCAGAAAAATGGGTATTGCCCATATTTCTTGGGACTTTCTCCAGTGTGTTAATGCCTGTGTGCCACCTGCAGAAACAGGAAGCACAGCCTCAAAGGGAGCAGGATGTCTCACTCCAGTTTGCTTTTGTGCTTTTTGTGTTTCAGGGTCTCTCCAGCACCAGAGCTGCTGAGCTCCTGGCACAGAACGGACCCAACGCCCTCACCCCTCCCAAACAGACCCCAGAGATCATCAAGTTCCTCAAGCAGATGGTGGGCGGCTTTTCCATCCTTCTGTGGGTAGGAGCTGTCCTGTGTTGGATCGCATTTGGGATTCAGTATGTCAGCAATCCATCTGCCTCCCTGGACAGCGTAAGGCTCCTGGTGTCAACTTCCTGGTTTTGCTCTGCAAGGGGTGGGGTCGGTTATGGGAGGGGAGAGCACAGCTAAAATAAAGGCCATCAGCGACATCTGTGAGAGCAGCCATGGGCTGGAGGCAGGATTCTACCATGGATCAACCACTGCCAGGGTGTGGGAAAATCAGGACTTTTCCCAGATGTAGAACAAACGCTCTGTGACTTTCTGATGCCTCAGTGGGTAGAGTAAGCATGGATTTTAGAAGAGGGAGAGAAAGCCAAAACAGTTTTTAAGTTCCTCAAGGAGTCGACATCCATGTGAAGTGTCTAGGGCCTTCCCTCCTTAAAGCTGACTTTTCCCTTGAACCTGGTAAGCATCTGTTCCTGCTGGGAGCCAGCGACCAACCCCACAACACAGAGCTGGCCGGCATGGTGCTGGGAAAGGAGCCAGATGCAAGTGCCTCAAGTTGTGTGGCTCCTCTTACACAGAGCACCCAGATGGGCATATCTGTGGAGACAGGGAGCTCACCAGTGGGGACAGGGATGGGGCAGGGGCAGGAGGTGACTGCCTAGGGGCCTGATGGCCATGCTGCAGAGCTGAATGACAGCTGCACAGCTCTGCACATTCAGGAGAAACCGGTGAGTTGTGCACTTACAATGAGTACAGGCTGGGTATCAGGATGCAAATGCCAGCAGCTCATCCCTGTGGAGAGCTGTAGCCCAGGACCTGGCTCATACTTGACCCAGGTTGATGAGCCGTCATCTGCAATGCTTGGGGCCAGAATATTTGCACACATCCATAACGAGATGTCTTGGGGATGGAACCCAAGTCTCTACATGAAATTTATCCTTCACACACAGCTTACACACATAGCCTGTAGGTGATTCTGAGCAATATTTTTAATGCACTTGTTTTATTGTGGTTGTCATGTGAGGTCAAGTGTGAGATTTTTCACTTGTGGTATCATGTCAGTACTCAAAAAGTGTCAACTCTGGAACCTTTCAGATTAGGGATGCACAACCCAAGCATGTGTCTCTGACTGATGCTTTTCTTCCTTAACCAGGTGTACCTGGGCACTGTACTTGCCGTGGTTGTCATTTTAACAGGAATCTTTGCCTATTACCAAGAGGCAAAAAGCACCAACATCATGGCCAGCTTCTGCAAGATGATCCCCCAGGTGAGCATCAGTTGCCTTTCCTCTGGTCTCAGCACAACTTTCAGGTGAGGAAGCATCAGACAGGCCCTGGGGGCAGGGTCGCTGCGTAGCCCTGCCCCATCTGTGCTGTCTGAGAAATCTTGAGCGGGTTATCCCTGCTTTCTAGACCCCAGCTCCTCACAGGGTTTAGAGGTGATCGAACTCAGTAAGATCGGGCAAAATGCTTTTCAAAACGTGAGTTGTCACACAACATCTTCCATTACCAAAAAGTTTGCAGAAATTGAATTAAAAGATAAGTTTATTTTGGTGCAAAAAAGAAATTGGAATCCATGCATAGTTTTTTTTTTCATAATCCACATTTTCCATGAACTTTTGATGGCCCCTCGTACTGTTCCTTGGCATTTCTGGGCCAGCTGGGTGGTGACATGGTGGCTCCAAGGAGGGAACCTAGAATTCCAAGGGCTGTTTGTGCACTGGCAGCCATGGAGGACCCCTTGTGCTCCTCTCCATGGGACTGCTTTTCCTCCTATCCCTGAGCTATAGTAGAAGTTGCCCCCAAATGCTCTGGGTAAGGGGACCCAGCATTCCCCTCTTCCCCCAAGAGCCCTGCCAGCTGCGCACAGCAGGGAGACCAGTGTTCCCACCCCAGACAACAGCCAGCTATTAGAAGGGGAAGGCTCTGGCTAGTGAAGATGCCTCCTAAGAAGTGGGCCATCAATCACCTCATCAAAGTTCCCCCAGCCTTATCAGCTGCATAAGCTCCTGGGCTCCTCCCAGGCACCCAGCCATGTAATTGTCCCCCTCTCTGGGAGATCCAGAGCTCTCACTTCTCCACGTCCACCTGACAGCAGCATTTTCTGGTTCTGTGAGCACAGGAAAAGATTAGTTCTTGGGGTCTTCAGCCCCGCCCGCGGCGGAAGTCTTCCATTTCATCCTCGCTCTTGGGACGGCCATGGGTACCATACCTCTGTTCTGGGATTCGGTGAGGTGTGGATGGAGAAGGAGGCCAGCATCACCGCGGGTCTGAGGCTCTGTCATGCTTTGCTTCCACAGCAAGCTGTTGTCATCCGTGACTCGGAGAAAAAGGTTATCCCTGCAGAGCAGCTGGTGGTGGGGGACATCGTGGAGATTAAAGGAGGTGACCAGATTCCTGCCGACATCAGGCTGCTGTCTGCCCAGGGGTGTAAGGTAAGGGCCGGGGGAACCCCGAGGATCCTGCTTGGAGCGAGCAAACATTCTGCTTTTTCCCTGGCCGTGGTAGGCGAGGCAGTTCCCTCTGAGCTGCTGTCAAACTTTTTCCTAGGTGGATAACTCATCTCTTACTGGAGAGTCTGAGCCCCAGTCCCGCTCAAGTGAGTTCACCCACGAAAACCCCCTGGAAACAAAGAACATCACTTTCTACTCCACGACCTGCCTGGAAGGTAAGCCCAGCAGCTGTCAGGGTCGCAAGCCCCACCTTGTCACTGCTGACCCCTAAGGCCAGAGGGTTTTTCGCTGCCTTCCCTCGTTACAAAGCTTTCCCCCACCCCAAGAAGCATACAGTGGAGGGAGCCACCAAGGAGGGCCTTGAATAAAACGTCTACTTCTCCCATAGGCACGGCAACTGGCATGGTCATCAACACGGGTGACCGGACCATCATTGGCCGCATTGCCTCCTTGGCTTCAGGCGTCGGGAATGAGAAGACGCCCATTGCCATTGAGATCGAACATTTTGTGCACATTGTGGCAGGAGTGGCCGTCTCCGTCGGCATCCTGTTCTTCATCATCGCAGTGTGCATGAAGTACCACGTCCTGGACGCCATCATCTTCCTCATTGCCATCATTGTGGCCAACGTGCCTGAAGGCCTCCTGGCCACTGTCACTGTGAGTCTACACTGTTAGGCAGCCTGCAGCCCAACTGTGGCTGCTGGGGAGGCTCCACATGCAGACCACAAGGTCTTCAGAACAGGGACAACCAAGGAACATTCTGGAAAGACTGCTTCCTAGAGGGACAAATGGAATTGCTTATTTCTAATGTTTGAATGCAACCTCCTTGAAAACATCAAGATTTCATGCGATATCTCTGTAATTCACAGAGGTTACTTAGCTCCCTTAAGATCTAGAGAGGACAGACCTCCAACCACCACTTACAGATTTTCTAGAAGCCTGACGCCTCCCCAAAGTTAAAAAAAAAAAAAAAAAAAGATGTCCAGGTCTCTTCTGACTCCAGGAGATAGAATTTGGAGAAGCTGGAGCCAACAGAACCCTTGGAGAGCTGAGGGCTTAAAAGATCTTTAAAATATGGGGCTCTTGACATGAAATACAAATGCTTCTGGCCTCCCCAGAGCAGCCAGTCAGGGTCTCTCTCACACATTCATGCTCCTGGTGACAGGATCAGGGTGGCCCAGGCACCCTAATTGGATGCAAGCACCAGCCACAGCAATGTGGCTGTCTCCACTACCTATAAGCCCTCGGGATTATATTCTTCAAGAAATAAAGGAACAAGAATAGTGTCTCATTTAATTTTTTTTAAAAAGGATTGTGACCTGTAAGACTTTTAGTGGCTTACACATTGGCAGTTCTGCCTTAATGCTAAAACAAACCCAGCCCCTCCTGAAATTCCATTGTAGCTCATCTTAGCTGTTTATACACCTGAACTCCAGATCAAAGTTACCTTGCCCAAAGCTTCTTTCCCTCTCTCTTCTGCCAGGTGGCCCTGTCGCTCACAGCCAAACGGATGGCCAAGAAGAACTGCCTGGTGAAGAACTTGGAGGCAGTGGAGACCCTCGGCTCCACCTCCATCATCTGCTCTGACAAGACTGGGACTCTGACGCAGAACAGGATGACCGTGGCCCATCTGTGGTTTGACAATCAGATCTTCGTGGCCGACACGAGTGAAGACAATTTAAGTAAGACTTTTAGGGTGGGGCATTGAGCCTGGGCTGAAGCTGTGGACTCAAGCAGTGGCTAGGCTGAGCACTGTGACCAGCACAGTGCAGGCATGGTGGGCCCAGCACCCATAGCAGCCATTCTTCTTTCTCCTTGTTTCAGACCAAGGCTTTGACCAAAGCTCTGGAACCTGGACCTCCTTGTCCAAGATAATAGCATTGTGTAACCGAGCTGAGTTCAAGCCAGGAGAGGAGAGTGTCCCCATCATGAAGGTAAAATTTCCACATGCTTGTCTTAAATCACTGCTGGTTTTAGGTCACTTTCTCTGCCCACCTTGGGTGCGGGGGGACAGAGAATCTCTCTGCATCCAAGCAGAGTTGGTACGAGCAAGAGTAAATCTGACTTACAAGACACATAGCAAGCTTTCTCCACTTTAGTTCTGAGAAATCACAAAGTTGCTTAAAAGATCTTGGGCCCTTCTGAAAATTCACAGTATGGGAGATGAATGTGCCTTTTTATTTCTTTCCTAACTTCTTTACCAGCTAAGTGGAGATAGTCAAATGTTTTGCCATTCACTGAAGTTTAAAATATAATTAGATGGAAATAGGCTGGCGCCACAGCTCACTAGGCTAATCCTCCGCCTTGCGGCGCCGGCACACTGGGTTCTAGTCCCGGTCGGCGCGCCAGATTCTGTCCCAGTTGCCCCTCTTCCAGGCCAGCTCTCTGCTGTGGCCAGGGAGTGCAGTGGAGGATGGCCCAAGTGCTTGGGCCCTGCACTCCATGGGAGACCAGGAGAAGCACCTGGCTCCTGCCATCGGATCAGCGCGGTGCGCCGGCCACGGAAAGGAAGACCTTTCTCTCTGTCTCTCTCTCACTGTCCACTCTGCCTGTCAAAAAAAAAAAAAATATATATATATATATATAATTAGATGGAAATAAAGGACTTGGTCTTAGTTCATCTTCCTCTTGACTATAAGATGGTAGTAGGTGGAACACTAAGGGGCCCTGAAATTTGGAAATATACAATATTCCAAAATTCCAAAAGTGCAGTGACTCTTTTCTCTCTCCCTATCTCTGTCCCTATCTCTGTCTCTATCTCTGTCTCTACCTCTACCTCTACCTCTACCTCTACCTCTACCTCTACCTCTACCTCTACCTCAACAAGTCACCAAATCTGGGTTCTCCTTGCTTTTCCATTCACCATCTGTTTCTTTCACTGACTCACTTTCTTTCTTATATTTTTAATTTGCTTTTCCTTATTAGAAAGCTCATCAATGCTCCCTTTGGCCAATTACTTCTCCATCCGTACCTTTTGAATCTCTATGTCCTATCCTGATTTCTCATCTAAATCCCAACCTGGATTCCCAGCAAGCTGCATGTGTCCACTCAGAAGTTCCACTGAGTTCACCTATCAACAAATTACACTTGTCCAGTTCCACCTGTATCTACCTTATTTTGTCCTGAGTTTTCTATTATACTGTATCATAACCATTCCACATGTCATCCAGGCAAATGCTTTTAGAAGTCTTCTTTGACTGTCTCCATAAATCTAGTGAATCACCAAGTCCTATCATTCTTGCTTCAAAATACACATAATTTTATACTTCTATGATCATTAATACCTTGCATCTTTTTCAAAGTTTTTTTTATTTATTTACTTGAGAAGTAGAGTTACAGACAGTGAGAGGAAGAGAGAGATAAAGGCCTTCCACCTGTTGGTTCACTCCCCAAATAGACATAATGGCCAAAGCTGAGCTGATCTGAAGCCAGCATCCAGGAGCTTCTTCCAGATATCCCAAGTGGGTGCAGAGGCCCAAGCACTTGGGCCATCTTTTACTGCCTTCCCAGGCCATAACAGAGGGCTGGATCAGAAGTACAGCAGCTGGGTCTCAAACTGGTGCACATACGGAATGCCAGCACTGCAGGTGGCGGCTTTATCTGCTATGCCACAGCACTGGCCCTAATACCTTGCATCTTAATAGCTGCACCAACCTCCCCAGATTCCAGAATATGCCTTCCACAGTCTTTCTTCAATTTTCCTTAAAAATTGCTTTTATCTTCACCTAACTGTGATCAAAATTTCTCCTGCTTCCCTATTTTCTGCTTCTTCAGTCTAGACCTCAGCCTGTCTTTCAGGGACCTGTCTAACCATACTCGGTGTCCACCTGTACTCCCAGCACTCACAGTGCAATCTTCCACTCCATGCTCGGTGTGTAGAATCCTGGCTTCTTCTGCTCCTGTGTCTCTCGGGGACCCATGGCTATCAAGTTCTAGTTCATAGCTGCTTTTTTCCCTGAAGCTCTCCAGTCTTCACAGAGCTGCCACCCATTTGAACTTCCCTAGTACCGGTAAGTGGCACCACTGTTTTGCACTCTTGCCATGGTCATGACTGGGTCACTGATGGACAAGTGAGCACCTTGTCCTTCTGACCAGGTAGCAAGCTGAGCTAGGAGATGAGTGGCTTGCTTCTAAAATAATGTTGGTCCATTAAAAACAATCACAAAAGAAGGTGTGGTATTTGCAGGTGATATACTGCAAATATTTGTTTCTCTCTTTTGCTTCCCAGAGAGTCGTGGTTGGAGATGCTTCAGAAACTGCTCTTCTGAAATTCTCAGAAGTCATTTTGGGTGACGTGATGGAAATTAGAAAAAGAAACCACAAAGTAGTCGAAATCCCTTTTAACTCAACCAACAAATTTCAGGTGAGCATTTCCTCATAGTCGACAATCTCTGTTATCACTAGAACAACATTTTTACTTGTACACATTCTTTAATAGCCCATTGTTTGAGTAATACATGACTTCAAAAGTGGTCTTCAGGGAACAGAGCCTTGGCACCTGTTCAACCCAGGCAAGGTCCATTGCTTTCCCTGATGTAACAGAGGGAAAAAAGAAAGAATCTATGCGGGCCTGGCTGCTGCTGTGAATGACCATCTCTATTGCGTCCACACTCACTCATGCTCACACACACTCATACATGCCTCCACCACCACCACCACCATCAGGTAACTTTTGCACAGGTGAGGAGCAGCAGCCCTGTTTCGTAGGGTAAATGAGAGGCTGGGGAAGAGGAGAGACCTAATTTTTATGGCTCGCTCAGTACAGTTGCCCCTCTGAATCTGTGCATTCAATATTAGTGAGAAAAAAATGTTGTTGAATTTGTGTAGACTTTTGTTCTTGTCCATATTCCCTAAACAATACAGTACAACAGCCATCAAGCATAACATTGACATTGTGTTTGGTAGTGTATGTAATCTGGAGATTTTTTAAATCTACAGGATTACATGGGCTCTGCACAAACACTATCCCATTTTAGGTGAGGCACTTGAGCATCCCCAGTTCTTAGTATCTCAAGAGGTCCTGGAACCAAACCCTCTAGGGTACCAAGGGACGGCTGTATTCATTAACTCATTTAATCTTCACAACAAGCCTATGAAGTAAGACTAATGGACCCCAATTTATAGAAGAGAAATGAGGCCTTGAGAAAGTGTTGATGAAGTCAGAGTCACATAGATAAGCTAAGTGGCACAACCAGTTCTCCCAAGTCTATGCTTCCACCACAGCCCCGAGACAGGTGGTTTTGTTCAGGCATGTGCTGGGCCTTGCCCATAGTGGGAGGAATGAATAGACATCCAGTGACCTGTCTGGTTGCTTTCCCACTCCGCCCCATATGCTGTGGGTAGTGAGTTCCTCTCCACACCTTGTTGAGGAAGAACATGGCCATCCTTGCCTTATCATCTCGCCTCATTCCAGAGGTAGCCAGCGCTCAGCAGTCTCCATCCTCTGTTCTAAGGCAATGACAGTTTATAGGTCCTGCTGCTGAAGAGATTTCCCACAAGATTCCAAGCTGAGAGCAGGGGATAGTGACTTGGGCTTTACGTAACAGGAAGATATGTCGTGCATTGCTTAGCAATAGGGGCATCCTGAGTGTGGGCAGCTCTGTCATCATTGTGCAAACACCACAGAGTACACTTACACAAGCCTAGATGGTGGACCTCACAACACACCTAGGCTAAATGGTTGAGCCTGTTTCTCCCAAGCTACAACAGTACAGCATGCGACTTAAATGAATACTGCAAGCAATTTTAACACAGTGCAATTTGTGTATCTAAACAGAAAGGCTAAAGTGAAAATACTAAGCTATAGGAATGTTCAGCTCCGTTTTAATCTTGTGGGACCACTGTTATACACATAGACTATTTTTGACTAAAATGTCTTTATGTAATGCATGATTGAATATAAATAGGATAACCATGTGTGTGTAGAAATTTATAGAGATTATCTATCCTTCTTTGTTTAAATGTAATTTAGAGTTGGAAAAGAACTGTTTGTGTTGCAAATTGCTTCTTTAAGGACAGTTAGCCAATAAACTAATGACCCGAATGCTTGGGCCCCTGCCTCCACATAGGAGATCCAGATGGAGTCCCTGGCTCCTGGCTTTGGCCTGACCCAGTTCTGGCCATTGCTGCCATTTGGGAGAAGAGCCAGCAGGTGGAAGATCTCTCTCTCTTTCTCTGTGTGTGTGTGTGTGTGTGTGTTTCCATTGTTCATACAAAATAAATAAATCTTTTTTTAAAAAAATCATAGTTAAATAGCTAACAAAAATGTATGAAATAAAAAACAGTAAAATCAGGAACTCAGATCCTTTATTCAAAACAGAGTGAAAACAGAATGAGTAACAATAAAATAACAGCAACAAAAGTAGCTATTTTGTGCTAATTTCCATTAATGGCTTTAAGCCATTCACTCTCATATGAGTTAGGCAGAGGATGAGGAAACCGAGGTATAGAGCACTAATAAGGGTCGGAACTAAGAATCAAGCGTAGCCAGGTGGTCCGTGCTGGAACATACCAGGTTAGATGCATCTTCCAGGCATGAACCAGACTCCGACTCCCGCTGCAGCGCCATCTGGGACAGGAAAGGGTCTTCCTGTCATGTGGGCAGTGAAAGAAGCAGGCCCCATGAGACCTGCTGAATTCTGACTCAGGGTGCCCCTGTAGGCTGGGGTGATGCCCAGATGCTCCTAGTTGGCCACAAAAAGAAAAGGGCTAGAACATTCCTCTGAATGTCGTTCCCCTTCCTCCTTTACACCTCAAGGACAGTCATGAAAAAGTACTGTGTCTCCAAGTCCTGTCCTATTGCTAATTGGAAGGGCTGTGGCGAGCAGGCTACATCTAACGTGCCCTATTCATGCTCTCTCAGCTCTCCATACACCAGACGGAAGATCCCAATGACAAGCGCTTCCTGCTGGTGATGAAGGGGGCCCCCGAGAGGATCCTAGAGAAGTGCAGCACCATCATGATCAACGGCAAGGAGCAGCCACTGGACAAGAGCATGGCCCAGGCCTTCCACACGGCCTACATGGAGCTGGGCGGCCTGGGCGAGCGCGTGCTGGGTGAGTGTGGGGGCACAGCCCCTGTCTCTCCCCCAGAGGTGCCAAACCGAGGCTCAGGAGCTGGTGGAGTAGCTGCAGTATCCACGCATCACAGAAAGAAGAATATGATCAACAGTATAGCAACAGATAAGAGGAGGCTTCGTGAGGGGTCTTCAAAAGGGCATGGAAATGCATATTAGGAAAGAACAATACAGGCATTTAAAATTTTTTTGCAACAGAATGACTTCTTTTTTTGAAAGATTTATTTATTTGAAAGGCAAAAATATACAGAGAGAGGAAAAAGAGAGAGTTTCACTCCGCTGTTTCACTCCCCAAATGGCTGCAATAGCCAATGCTGGGCCAGGCTGAAGCCAGGAGCCAGGAGCTTCTTCTGGGTCTCCCATGTGGGTGCAGGGGTTCAAGCCCTTGGCCATCTTCCTCTGCTTTCCCAGACACATTAGCAGGGAGCTCGATTGGAAGCAGAGCAGCCAGAACTCAAAGTGACACCTATATGGGATGCTGGCATGCAGACAGAGGCTTAACCTTCTGCACCACAGCGCCAGCCCAGAATAACTTATTTTTTAATTCCATTTTCAAGGGTCTTTTGAAGTCCACTAACATAATGGCATTGAGGAGTGTGGGGTCACTTCCAGACAAGCATAATCAGGGAAGACTTCCTGGAGGGAGTTCCATTTTAACTGGGGACTGAAGTGAGGTAGGGGAAAGTAATCAGGGTGGAAGGAACTTAGACCAAGCTCAGAGACAGCCAGAGGGTTGCTGGGTAGATCAGATGGCACATTATGGGGAAGCAGGGCTGGAAAGACAAGCTGGACGTCAGGCTGTGGAGGCCCTGAACATGCAGGTGAGGGGTGAAGGTCGCAGTACAAACTCTCCCGTTTGTACCCTGTTTTTATTGTGATTTATCTCTTTTCTGTCTATCCCTCAACCAAAAAGGTACAGCTTCAGAAGTAAAGGCAGTCTACTTTACTTGAAATGGTCGTTTTATCTCTAGAATATAACATAGAGCCTAATTAGCACAGAGTAACTATCTTTGGATGAAATATGAAGGTACTTCAACAAGTCCTTGGAAAATAAGTTTAATTTGAAAACTGTGCAGTTTTTTTTTCATAATAAGCAGTTCCATGAACTTTTTAAGACTTCTTCATAAGCATGCATTTCAATTTTTTATACCACAATAAATTTATATTTCATTTCCATTTCTATGGACTTTCTTTTTTGAAGATCTATTTATTGTGTATGTGAAAGGCAGAGTTACAGAGAGGCAGAAGTAGAGAGAGAGAGAGAGGTCTTCCATCTGCTGGTTTACTCTGCAGGTGCCCACAATGGCTGGAGATGAGCCAATGTGAAGCCAGGAGCCAGGAGCTTCCTCTGGGTCTCCCACATGGGTGCAGAGGCCCAAGGACTTGGGCCATCTCCTACTGTTTTCCCAGGCCATAGCAGAGAACTGGATCGGAAGTGGAGCAGCTGGGACTCAAACCAGTGGCCATATGGGATGCCGGCACTGCAGGTGGCAGCTTTACTTGCTTTGCCATAGCACCAGCCCCTTTCATGGACTTGCTAAAGTGTTCTTATATAATGTCATCACCAAGAAAAACATTCATTATGGAATTTTAGGAATTTAACAGTTCTACTCCATTCTATTGTATCAGTAAAAGCAAAGAGGGGCCAGCACTGCAGCACAGCAGGTTAAGCCATCATCTGCAGCACTGGCATCCCATATGGAGCTGGTTCGAGTCCCAGCTGCTCCACTTCCAATCCAGCTCCCTGTAATGCACCTAGGAAAGCAGCAGAAGATGGTCCAAGCCCTGGGCCCCTGCCACCCATATGGGAGACCAGGAAGAAGATCTTGGCTCCTGGCTTTGGCCTGGCATATCCCCAGTCATTGTACCATTTGAGAAGTGAACCATCAGGTAGAAGATCTCTCTCTGTCTCTCCTTCTCTATCTGTCATTATCTCTGCCTTTCAAATTAGTAAGTAAATCTTTTTAAAAAGCAAAGGACTGAAAGTGCCTCAACATGCTTCCTCTTTTCTTTTGTTATTCCTCAGCCTCATCTCATTGGCTCCCACATCTTTGTCTTTTCCAGGTTTCTGCCATTTCTACCTGCCAGCAGATGAGTTTCCAGAGACCTACTCATTTGACTCAGAATCCATGAACTTCCCCACCTCCAACTTATGTTTTGTGGGGCTCTTATCAATGATTGATCCTCCTCGATCCACTGTCCCAGATGCAGTCACCAAATGCCGGAGTGCAGGAATCAAGGTGGGAGCTACTTTCCAAACTCAAGGCACAAACACTTGCGTTGTGTCCTCAGAGCATTTGTCACAGGATATAGTCAACGCTGAGGTTTCTTCAAGTCAGTATCATAATGCCCTCTTTCTTTCAACATGCTAAGATTTCAGTAACTATTCCATAAAAGCAAAATTGTTGTTTCTATGTGGAGCAAACCGTGACAGTAATGACAGTGAGAAGGATCGCCCAGCACCATGAACTAGCCATGATCTTGCCATGATAAATAATAAAAACTTCATTCTTTACTTTAGAGGTTCAGCCTCCATAATCCATTTATCTTCACAATATTGAACCCAAAATATGTTAATATTCAGACAGCTGAAGCAACATGTAGTTGCCCCAAGTAGATATCTTCTGGCCCTTTCACACAAAAAAAGTGACATCAAAGGAGAAATGATATTCTCCTATGTCAGAGGAGGAAATGCAAGAAGCTTAGGAGCAAGGGTAGATCCAATGAGGTCAATTTGTCCTTCAAAGTTCACTGGAATGAGTCAGCCAAGCCACAGCAATCGCTAAGCATATTCTACTAGGTCCTCTAGAGTAGATGACATTGAACTGTCCCTACTGTAGCAGGTCGAGATCCTCATAGCCCACGGGCCCTTCTTGTTTCTGCTCTAGGTTATCATGGTTACAGGTGATCATCCCATCACAGCCAAAGCCATTGCCAAGAGTGTAGGGATCATTTCAGCCAACAGTGAGACAGTGGAAGACATTGCAAAACGCTGCAACATCGCCGTGGAGCAGGTTAACAAACGGTAAGCACAGACCCAATACTGCGTACACTCAGGGTCTTACTCACAGGAACCATGCTATTTGGAGCAATTGAAGCAAATTGAAGCAAACCTTTTTTAAAAAATGTTTATTTATTTATTTATTTATTTAAAAATCAGAGTTACACAGAGAGAGAAGGAGAGGCAGAGAGAGAGAAAGAAGTCTTCCATCCACTGGTCCACTCCCCAATTGGCCACAATGGTGGGAGCTATGCCAATCCGAAGCCAAGAACCAGGAGCTTCTTCAGGGTCTCCCATGAGGGTGCAGGGGCCCAAGGACTTAGGCCACCTTCTACTACTTTCCCAGGCCATAGCAGAGAGCTGGATGGGAAGTGGAGCAGCCGGGACTCAAACTGGTGCCCATATGGGATGCCGGCACTGCAGGTGACAGCTTTACCCGCTATACCACAGTGTGAGCCCTTGCAAATCACCTTTTTGCCAAACACCCTCTTAGGGTAATGCTATTCTAGTTTGATCCATAATTCATTTAGTCATTCATTCACTCAGAATCTTACTGAGCGCTTAATATGTGCCAGGCACAGTCCTGAAATCATGAAAGTGACCCATTGACTATTTCTTATCTGAAACGTCAAAATCCAATGAAGTACAATTATGCATTGCTTAATAATAAGAATATGTCCTGAGAAATGGAATTTCATCATTATGGAAGCATCATGGAATGTACTCACACAAACTAAGACAGCTACAATGTCACTAGGCAGTATAATCTTTTTTTTAAGATAGATTTATTTATTTACTTATTTATTTATTTATTTATTTGAAAGTCAGAGTCACACAGCAGAGAGAGGAGAGGCAGAGAGAGAGAGAAGTCTTCCATCTCCTGGTTTACTCCCCAATTGGCCGCAATGGCCAGAGCTGCACCGATCTGAAGCCAAGAGCTAGGAGCTTCCTCCAGGTCTCCCACGCAGGTGCAGAGGCCCAAGGACTTGGGCCATCTTCCGCTGCTTTCCCAGGCCATAGCAGAGAGCTGGATCAGAAGAGGAGCAGCCGGGTCATGAACTGGTGCCCATATGAGATGCTGGCACTTTAGGCCAGGGCGTTAACCCACTGTGCCACAGCGCTGGCCCAGGCAGTATAATCTTAAGAGTTTACCATCATTATATGTGATCTTTCATTGAAAGTGACACAGAAATGTCATCATGAGGCACATCACCGTGTGAAAACCTATGTTCCCAACTCAGAGTGAGAAAAGCTGAAACAGTTTATGTGAAATCACTTGCCTTTGACCCAGTTGTATAATCAGAGATATTAAGAACCTTTTGAGTTTCATGTACTACCGTGTTTGTGTGTGTGTATTTACCTGTATATGTGTGTGTGTGCTTACCTGTATATATGTGTGTGTGTGTGTGTTTACCTGTGTATATGTGTGTGTAGTATATTTACCTGTGTGTTCAGTTGACTTCATTATGTGCAGCTAAAATAGAACCTTCCTAAGGAGAGCTTTTTTCCTTGGTTCTCCCAATTGTTTTCGTCTATCCTTTAACCCATCTATCTATCCATGCACTCATATATTAATCCTTTCAACAACTAAGCATTGAGTGCCAAGTGTATACCAGTCACTGTGCTAGATGCTGGAAATATAAGCAGCAAAGAGAACAGATATTATTCCCTACCCTGAGAGTCCAGGGAAACTGGAAAAAACCATGAACCCTATGTGATCAGTGTAATGAAAGAGACACTCATGGATGAGGGGCTGGACGTGGTGGGGATCAGCCTGGACTGTAAATGGTTTAAGTCAAAGAGTCCAGAGTCTCAAGTTGAAAGATCATCATCTGAATTATCCTTCCATGCATGTACCAGGAAAGGCTAAGGACCAAATTCTCATTTCACAAGAATTTATGCGTTTTAGGAACACAGAGCTGACAGGTAATAAATGATTAGCAGGCAACAAATTTCCAAGTAAGGCAACCAACCACAATGACACATTCTGGATACAGCAGCAACACCTGGAGCACTTCTTTGTATAAATAACAGCCCTCTCCAAAAACAGATGTGGGGCTTGTTTCTTTGTTTATTTTTATAAAATATTGGGATTCTACATTTCCATCCAAGTGACCACACTGAACAGGGGAGTGGGGTAAATGCTTTGGTGGGTATTTTCATTTACCTCATCAGCTTCACGGGTATATAATCTTTGCATTGTGGCAGCTGCTTTCCTTATTATCTTACTTTGGTATTTTTGACCAGTAGAAGACCTATAGTTTGAGTCAAAGCTAGGTTTATAAAATGTAGCACCAAGAGGAAAATGAGACATAAAAAAGGTCAGAAACTTACAAAGAGTGAAAAAAGGACATGCAATGTTTTGTACCTACAGCGTTTGAGATTAGAAGGCCACCTGTGCACCATTAGACAAGAGAAACTGAGGCGGGAGTGTCTGCTCTGGGCAAGGGAGGAAGACTGGTGGAGGCCTCTGGGCAGTGAGGGTGCCGGGATGTCAGAGCTGGGAGGGTCCAGCTAGCTGCAGGGCAGGGCCCGCGAGAAGGCAGAGCTTAACCGCTCAGGCTGCACCTGTCTTGCTGACCAAGTTGGGAATGTTCTGGCGTGTTCTTGGGGCACACTGCGAGGCTCCTGAGGAGTTTTAGCAGGACAGTGGTACAGTCAGACCTGGGGTGAGAGTTTGGCCTTGCAGTTAAGACACTTGCACCCAGTATCTGAGTTCCTGCGCTCAGTACCCAGCTCCAACTCCTCACTCCATCTTCCTGCCACTGTGGACCCGGGGAGGCAGTGGTGATAGTCCCAGGGGATGAGTCCCTGCCACCCACGTGGGAGACCTGGACTAGCGCTTGGTTCCAGGCTTCAGCCCAGCCCAGCCCTGGCCATTGTGGGTATTTGGGAGATGAACCAGTGAACAGGTGCTTTCTCTGTCTCACTGTTATCTCTGCCCCTCAAATAAATAAATAAAATAAGATAAACTAATCCCCAGAGCCTTGCTTTTATAATTGGCAGATAATAGTTTTGCTCAAAGAAGACCACAATAAGCCTTCTTCCCCACATGGCACGTTGTACATAGCAGACACTCTATAAACCCGAAACAACAGCAGCAAAGAACAGTTAGCCATGTATTTTGGTGTAAAGGAATTTCTGTACCCAAAACATATGAGCAGACTTTTTTTTTCTCTCCTTTTCTTGTGAAGTGAAGCATTGCCCCCAGGAAGTAATACTTCTCACCCATTCCTGGAAAGAAAAGGCTTCCTAGATTTTTATTCCTGTTGCTCTATGACACCAGGAAATGGCTCTAGTTTTAAACTTTCTGTTTACTGTCTTGAAATGGAGGGCAAAGTTTCCCCAGTAGTCATAACCCCTGAGATAGCCCCAGAGTATTCGCCCATCTGGGATATTAGGTTCCAAATGGAGTCAAAAAGAATTGAGGCCACATCCAGCCTAGAACCATTTCAACCAAAGATCTGCCCTTGGGCCTCACTAGGTTTCTTCTGGCCCTTTTAGGGATGCCAAGGCCGCCGTGGTGACCGGCATGGAGCTGAAGGACATGAGCCCAGAACAGCTGGATGAGCTCTTAGCCAACTACCCGGAAATCGTGTTTGCACGGACGTCCCCCCAGCAAAAGCTGATCATCGTGGAGGGCTGTCAGAGGCAGGTGGGTGACAGCAGCACCTGGAGAATCAACTACCCTCAGCCACATGTCCCCAGCTCTGCATTTGATCATGGGAGTCTGGGGTTTCGACAGCAACACATTTGCCACTGTGGCAGTGCCACTGTAGAAAGATGATAAAATAGTAAGTTTCAAAACAAAGCTTGCAGAGACATAGGATATCCAACACCTCCATTTGCACGCACCTTATTCGGAGCTCCTTGCCTTGCATCTGAGATTTCCTGATGGTCTCTTCTCCCAACGGGACCTCATCCTGGCCCCAGCAATCCTTGCAGCCCCAAGGACAGCAGGAGGCTGTGTGTGGCTCTCGCCCGCTCACTCACTCCCCTCTTCCCACGGGGCCCCCGCAGGACGCAGTTGTGGCCGTGACGGGGGACGGAGTGAATGACTCCCCCGCTCTAAAGAAGGCCGACATTGGCGTTGCCATGGGGATAACGGGTTCTGACGCGGCCAAGAACGCAGCCGACATGATCCTGCTGGATGACAACTTCTCCTCTATCGTCACAGGGGTGGAGGAAGGTGAGCGGGGTCCCCAAGGTCTGCCGGAGGGCCAGGGTCCACGGGAGGACTGGGGACAAGCCCTCTAAGGAGAACCATCTCTGCCTAGGCCGCTTGATATTTGACAACCTAAAGAAGACCATCGCTTACACCCTGACCAAGAACATTGCCGAGCTCTGCCCCTTTTTGATTTACATCATTCTCGGGCTGCCCCTGCCCATTGGCACCATCACCCTCCTGTTCATCGACTTGGGCACAGACATAGTAAGTGACACTAAAGGGAACAGGGTCCTTCTGCACCGCAGGGAGTGCACAGGTTGCGGTTGTTACCTTGGAGGGCCAGGAGGTGGGCTGAGGCCCACGCTGCTCAGACTTCTCTGCAATGGAGTTCAAAGTTTTGCCTTTCTGACAAGCTCCCAGGACATAGCGATTCTGCTGGGCCCACAGACCACCACTTCAAGGGACTAGAGACATTTGTCAAGTGTTTGGAAATTCAAACTTCACTGTTTACGGGGATTTTTAAGGCAGGAGCCCCTCAAAAAATATCTTTTGCCAATGGTCAGTTTTAGCAGCCAGGCAGCCCTTTTCTTTGGCGCAGCTGAAGGGCCCTGTGCTACTGGGGGCTTGGTGGCTAATGTGATAACCCCACAGCGCCCCCTGTGGAGGGAGAGAATGGGCGCTCTAAGGGCGGGCCCTAGGGTTCTGCTCTGGGATTCAGCCGCACAGCAGAGAGGGAAAGGGTGTTGAGAGAAATCCTCCTTGAGGGAAAAGTGTTTTATGGCCAGCATCGTTTAGAACTGCCGCACACAGTGACTGATTTTAAAGCTGGCTGGTCTTAAGCTCCTTTGAGACAAATGCACCCCTGTTGTCTGCTTCCTGGATGGACTGGCTCTGTGTCTCCTTCCACCACCATCCAGCAACCTCCACCTACCTTCTGCCCATCCTTGCTTGGCTATGCTTTTTCCTATGATTCTGAGGGTAGGGAGAGCATTCCAGGTTAAGGCTTCATGTGCATAAAAAAAAGGGGGGGTGGGCAGCACTGTGGCATAGCTGGTAAAGCTGCTGCCTGCAGTGCCAGCATCCCACATGGGTGCCAGTTCATGACCCAGCTGTTCCACCTCCGATCCAGCTCTCTGCTATGGCCTGGGAAGGCAGTGGAAGATGGCCCAAGTGCTTGGGCCCCTGCAACTGTGTGGGAGACCTGGAATAAGCTCCTGGCTCCAGGTTTCATATTAGCCCAGCTCCAGCCATTGCGGCCATTTGGGGAGTGAACCAGCGGATGGAAGACCTCTCTCTCTGCCTCTGCCTCTGCCCCTCTGTAACACTGCCTTTCAGATAAATAACTAAATTTAAAAAAAAAAAAAAAGACTTCATGGGCTATCTCCCTCTCCAGATCCCCTCCATTGCCTTGGCGTATGAGAAAGCAGAAAGTGACATTATGAACAGGAAGCCTCGGCACAAGAAAAAGGACAGACTGGTGAACCAGCAGCTTGCTGTATACTCGTACCTGCACATTGGTACGCCTGGGCTCTCCTACTGTCACTGGAGGGCCTGTCCCAGGCACAGTCGGAGAGTGTTTTCCTTTGGGGCTGAGGTTGGGATGGTAGGAGGGGCTGAGAGGAGAAAGGATGAGGCCATCCTCTGGAGGCATCAGGGAGTCTAAGCCCTTAGCTCTCTTGTTCTTTCAGGCCTCATGCAAGCCCTGGGAGCTTTCCTGGTGTACTTCACTGTGTACGCACAGCAGGGCTTTCGGCCGACCTCACTGTTTCACCTGCGGATAGCGTGGGACAGCGACCACCTGAACGACTTGGAAGACAACTATGGACAGGAATGGGTAAGCGCTGGGGCGCTCTGTGCCAGCTTTGCCTGCTTCTTCTTCCCTCCTCTCGCTGCCCTGCCAGGACTGGGGCAGAGCCTGCATTCCTCCACATGGCCTTGACAAGACCGACTGTGGAAGCTTGCTAGTTGATAGGGCTGGGGACCCCTGGAGGACACTGGTTTGGCCTTTGCCAGGACCCAGCCTTTTGTCTTGGGCCAGAGGTCAAGAGCTCACCTTTTAATGTTAGCTTTGCCATTGGCGTGGAAAAGTAATCATGTCAACACGCCCACAGTTCAGCCAGAGACGTCAGCATCTTTCTCTCCTCACCTGGCTGAAGACCAAAGTTTCTCTCTCCATCTGGGTCAGGCAGAGATGAGAGGAAAGCTTCCCAGAGATCCCCCCGGACTCTACAACTTTCCTCCAAGCTCTCACTGTCTCCTCCTTCTCTGCCCATCGACAGACGAGTTATCAGAGGCAATACCTGGAATGGACAGGCTACACGGCTTTCTTTGTTGGCATCATGGTCCAGCAAATAGCAGATCTGATCATCAGGAAGACCCGCAAGAACTCCATCTTCAAGCAGGGGCTCTTCAGGTATTGCTGTATCGGCCTCATGGGTCAGCCTCAGGCCTGCGGGCTTGCTGGAGCTTCCTCCGGCCATGCCTGGCACACACAAGGCCTTGCTCAGCTGGTGGCCGGTTCTGCGGAGGGCATGATCACAGAGCCGTGGGAACTCAGAATCTGCTTACTTTGTCTTGCAGAAATAAAGTCATCTGGGTGGGGATCGCCTCCCAGATCATCGTCGCCCTGCTCCTCTCTTACGGGCTCGGCAGTATCACAGCCCTAAATTTCACCATGCTCAAGTGAGTTCGCCTTCCACAGCAGCAAGGAAACTGACAGCCCTGCCCCGAGCTGTCACAGCCCAAATAATAACTAGGATATCCCAAGGTCCCTCTCCCACCCACCCCCCCCCCTTTTTTTTTTAAAGATTTATTTATTTATTTGAAAGAGTTACACAGAGAGGCAGAGAGAGAAAGAGAGTGAGAGAGAGAAAGAGGGGTCTTCCATCTGCTGGTTCATTCCCCAATTGGCCGCAATGGCCAGAGGTGGGCCAATCAGAAACCAGGAGCCAGGAGCTTCTTCCAGGTCTCCCACACAGTTGCAGGGGCCCAAGGACTTGGGCCATCTTCTACTGCTTTCCCAGGCCATAGCAGAGAGCTGGATTGGAAGTGACACAGCCGGGACTCCAATCGGCGTCCATATGGGATGCTGGCACTACAGGCAGCAGTTTTACCAGCTATGTCACAGCGCCAACCCCCTCCCACCTGTTTTGAAAGAGATCAAAATGATTTCATGCTGTTTGAGCCCTAGACTTTGCACTTTATTTCCCAGAAGAGGAAACAGATTTTCCAGACCTTGCCATTCTGTCTCACCCTTACAAGGACTTCTTATAGCAGTCACAGTCCAAGTTAACTAAGGAGATTTCCAGGGGTAGATATTTGGTGCAACAGTTAAGATACTGCCTGAACCATTTACACAATTTTTTTTATTGATTGCCTTTTTTTACAAGTTTCAAGTATTTCATATGTACAGATTTAGAGAAATAGTGATACTTCCCACCCTATCTTTCTTCTCACCCACACTCCAACCTTTCTTCCTCTTCCCTCTCCTATTCCCACTCTTAATTTATACAAGGATCTATTTTCAGTTTACTTAATGATTGGAAGATTAACCCTACACTAAATAAAAAGTTCAGCAAATAGTATGAAGAAAAAAACACTGTTCCTCAACAGAAGAGACAAGGGCTATAAACAGTCATCAAGTAGCCGGCGCCGCGGCTCAATAGGCTAATCCTCCACCTAGCGGCGCCGGCACACCGGGTTCTAGTCCCGGTCGGGGCGCCGGATTCTGTCCCGGTTGCCCCTCTTCCAGGCCAGCTCTCTGCTGTGGCCAGGGAGTGCAGTGGAGGATGGCCCAGGTGCTCGGGTCCTGCACCCCATGGGAGACCAGGAAAAGCACCTGGCTCCTGCCATCGGATCAGCACGGTGCGCCGGCCGCGGCGGCCATTGGAGGGTGAACCAACGGCAAAGGAAGACCTTTCTCTGTCTCTCTCTCTCACTGTCCACTCTGCCTGTTTAAAAAAAAAAAAAAAAAAACAGTCATCAAATCTCAAAATGCCCATTTCACACCAATGCTTTACATTTTAGGTACTCTAGTAGTCACCCCAGATCAGGGAAGACATATGATATTTGTCTTTTTAGGACTGGCTTTTTTCACTAAGAATAAATATAAATCAGAGTGTCTGGATTTGAGTCCCAGCTCAGCTTCTGATTCCTGCTTCCTGCTAATGCAGACCCTGAAAGCAGCAGATCACAGTTCAAGTATTTTGGTCCCTGCTACCCAAGTGGGAGACTCAGATTAGCATCTGAGCTCCAGACTTCAGCCTGGCCCAGCCCTGGCTATTGCAGACATTTAGGGTGTAGACCAGGAGATGGGAGGGCGCCCTCTTACTTCTCTGTCTGTCTCTCTCTCTCTCTTTCAAATAAATAAAAACATAGAAGTACTTTCTTTTTGGACAGGCAGAGTTAGACAATGAGAGAGAGAGACAGAGAGAAAGGTCTTCCTGCAGTTGGTTCACCCCACAAATGGCCGCTACGGCCGGCACACTGCGCCAATCCGAAGCCTAGAGCCAGGTGCTTCCTCCTGGTCTCCCATGCGGGTGCAGGGCCCAAGCACTTGGGCCATCCTCCACTGCCTTCCTGGGCCACAGCAGAGAGCTGGACTGGAAGAGGAGCAGCCGGGACAGAATCCGACACCCCAACCAGGACTAGAACCCGGGGTGCCGGTGCCGCAGGCAGAGGATTAGCCTAGTGAGCCACGGTGCCAGCCAGAAGTACTTATTTTAAGTACAACTTTTTTAAAATAAGGAACTTTCTGGTTTGGGTGTGGTGTGACCCAGTGGATTACTGCTTATCAGTAAAGCAGGGCCAAGGGCCAAGGGCAGGAGGCTCCCTGCTTGCTGGCATTCGCACGTTCCAGCGCTCATCATCCTCCCTTCTGCTTCCAGGGCTCAGTACTGGTTTGTGGCCGTACCCCACGCCATCCTGATCTGGGTATACGATGAAATGCGGAAACTCTTCATCAGGCTCTACCCCGGAAGTGAGTAGTGCAGCGGTATCTTGGAGGTTCTGTGTGCTTCCTCTACCAGGCTCTCCATTTCTAATTTACCTTCTTCTGACTCTCTAGGCTGGTGGGATAAGAACATGTATTACTGAGAGCAGGTCTGTCTCCGAGTCTCCCAGCGGCACCTGCCTGGTGGTCTTCGGCAAGACCTCTGTGTAGTGTGGATGTTGCCAAGCTCCACTCGGGAGGAGACTCTCATCTAGAACACAGTGGTGAAGCTTCTTACTGATCTGTTGTACTTCAAAGCTGAGGTTCAGCTGCTTGTATACGATTTTCATCTCTATCTCCATCTCCTTACCTTAAAAGATGTGGATGTCAAGGTCATGGTGTAGGGAAGGATGTGTTTATCTGTATATGAAGCTCATTGATGTCACACAGACTTGTGTAACCCAGGTGGCTGCTGGAGTCTGCCATAAGTTGAGCTAGAATTGCTCAGATCTCCTTCCACACCCTGTCAAAGGCCTGGTGAGCTCCGTAGGATTTCTGTGAATCCCCCTGAAACATAACTTTTGGGGTTTGCTTTGCTCAGCTGAGGGTGTGAGTTGAAGTGTGGCAGCAGGAACACCTCAGAACAGCAAAGACAGCCCCCGTTTTGACTCCCAGACACTTTGTTGCTGTGATGGGTTCCTGGCCATGCGGCCCCAGTCCGCCTCTCACAGCACTCCACCACCTGTTCCTGCAAAGCTGACCTCCAAGTCCATTCCACAAACCTTAACTCAAACATTCGTGGACCCAAAGGGGCTGTCACTGACTGGGACTCGGCCTCTCCGGAAAGCCACTGTGGTTTAGATAGCACTATTTATTTCTTGTAGATAGGCTGCCAAGCACTCTCCAGCAGCCATTTTATGTCAATCACGTTTTTGTAACTTAGATATATTTGTGTGGGACATGAAACACATACATCCATGTTGACAGGTTTTTTTTTAAAGTAAAAGATGTTTTTAAGTAAAATGTTTTATGAAACAAAATCTAATTGTGATGTTTTACTTAATTCAAGTTTTTCCAGAAGGCAGGCACGGAAAATACCAAAAAAATAAAATAAAATAAGATTCTGGTTTTTTTTTCTTTTTTGCTCCTTCTGGTCATTTTCTTTACCCACAGAGTGTCTGGAAATACAGGCTTTTCCTCATGAGTGCTTCCCACACCTGTGCCCCCTCCCCCCCTCACCTGACTGGGACTCCTGTGGGCCAGATCAACCTGCTGGCAGCAGCACCACAGGCAAAGTCATTTTCACAGCCTTTCCATCAACCACACACCCACACTAACTGATTTCACAGACTTTAAAAGCTGTACTTGGTTAAACTTTGCCCATTCAGTGGCCTCTCCACGCCAGCCACTTGCAGCTGCTGCTGCAGGCTTCAGCTTGGCATCTCTGGGACAGGAAAAGGGAGACGTAGAGTCCCATGCTCTCAGGGTCAGAGCTGGAGTGTGAAAGAAGGGGACCAATCCTGCAACCCTCTGTAAATGGATGTAATATCTCGCGTGTAGTCTGTGTGCTGTTTAGCTAACCTCCATGTGCAGTCACAAGGAACCCAGACTAATCTCTCATCGGTAGCTCCAGTGAACTGGAACCCTCTCCAGGGTGGTTCGGGTAGCATGGTAATTGCCTTATCCGTCTAGGCCTGACAAAGCGGCTAAGGCTTTCTAGACTTCAGGGAAGAGTAATTTGCCCTTCCTCTTATTCCTGCTTGGCCTTCCAGGTGTTCTGGCTGTGATGCTTAGTAGTTCCTCCTGGTCCTTCCAGGGCCTGCAGGAGAGTCATCAATATGGCATAAAACTGTGAGATTTAACTGGGTTAAGTCTGATAGGATTTAAATTTGAAATACGAGGGTATTTTGTAGGAAAAAAATGGAATTAAAGATATTTTGATGCAAAATTTTTGAAATCCATGCAAAGCAGTGTCTTCAGGAAGTTTGGATATGTATTATGAAAAACTGTGCCTACGTTTCAAAAATCTTCTGCACCAAAATAACTTATTGGAAATATTTTTTGTAACAGGAGGTGTGTCTGAAATAACTTTTATATTTATACACACATTCTGTTGCAAACATTTATTAACCTGAGTAAAATGAATGACTAATCTGAGTAATCCTAGAAACGTACATATCAAGTATATTTATTAAGGTGTAGACAGAAGGCAGCAATAAAAACCCCATCTCCTAGGGTTTTTTGGGAGAAGTTACTTAATTAACTCACAAAGGCCAAGATAACTTTTAAAAAAAAATAAAGGTAACATTAATAATTATAACAATGTATATTAGAGATATGAAAAGAAAGCTGGATTATTGGAATTTTCATTTTTGTAAATATTTTTATTCTGCTTATAAAATTGCAGCTCATTTAATGTAAACAAGCGAAAAAATTTAAATCATCCTGAATCTCACTGCCTAGTAATATACCTAAATGAGAGATGAGTTAATGTCTTTGGTGATTTTCTATACATATATAAAGTTTTCCATTCTCCTTTTTTATTTAACACTGAATCTGATGTAAATGCACAGTATTTAGATATTGAGAGTACTTTAGCTATAGCCCATCCCCCAGTTAGATGCTTCTTGTATTCCCTACTTTCTATATAAATTTATTTTACTTATTTGAAAGGCAGAGTTAGAGAGAGAAAGGGAGAGAGAGAGACAGAGAGAGAGAGCTTCCATCCACTGGTTCACTCCCCAAATGGCTGCAATGGCCAGAGCTGGGTTGACCCAAAGCCAGGATCCAGGAACTTCTTCCCAGTCTCCCACACAGGTGCAGGGACCATCATCTGCTGCTTTCCCAGGCACACTAGCAGGGAATTGGATTGGAAGTAGAGCAGCCGGGACTTGAATCAGCACCCATGTGGAATGTTGGTACCACAGGCAGTGTCAGTGGAATCTTTACAACTCTGCATGTTATCCCTTTACCTGTCAGTTAAAGATGCCTACCTTTCTAAGATCCCACTGTGTCTCATCTGGGATCAAGAAGGGGGTCCCATGATGAAAACATGGATGTTAAGCTCCGTGTGGAGTTTATGGAGGTGACATAAAACTCCCAGAGGGCATCATGCATGTTAAAGCACCACCTCCCACCTATTAAAAGAGACTGAAAATAAGGAAGGACTCTTTCACCACAGACCACAGTTCAGAGAGCAACTTAAGTTTTCTTCTCTCTCTCTCTTTCTCTCTCTCTCTCTCTCTCCCCTACCCCCTTCTTTAGGCAACTTTCTGGCCCACTCATGATGGATATTTCTTGGTTTGAAGTGGCCCATGCTCTCTCATAGATGTTATGTTCATTTTTCTCGCCTGTCTAATAAATCATGTTCTCACTTTGTGCACCTTTATACATATCTCCACTTACAATGTTTATCTGTGAGGATTGGATTAAGATGGTGGAGTAGGGAGGAAGCTTACCACTCTGGTCTAGGAGAAGATAGTTTTAAAAAAGTGGAGAAAATGCAGTCTCAGTGAAGAGTCAGGGAAAAAATGACAAAGGAAACTTCACACAAATTAGACACAGCAGACCTACGTGGAGGGTGTGGACGTGCACAAATCAGGACCCCAGCAGCTGAGAGCCTCAGCACCAGCTTTGGAGAGAGGTGAGACCAGACTGTAGCAGCCCAAGCCACTGGTAATAAGGCTACAGAAAAATCTGATAGAGAATCCAGCTTGAAGCCTTGAAAACTTGTGGGGGATAGTGTACCTACCAAACTAGAGGAGGAAAAAGAGGGGGAGGCGCGTTTCTGTTACCTCGATCTCCTGCAAGGGCATCCTGTAACAAACTGATACAGAGCAGGTGGCATTTTGAACATATGTAACAGCTGCGGCAGCTCCTGTCCATGCCCTGCAACCAAAGGAGCAGAGTCTCCTGAGTGGTGGGGAGAACTGACAGGGGGCTGGGTGCTTGTGATTGTGGGAGGCTTGTATGCCAGGGCTGCAAAAACACTGAGACTGCAGGGTTTTGAAAACACCAAGGCTGTGTGGGAAGGCTCAGAGTATGACTGGGACTTGGGACAGTACGGTGGGAGGCTCCACATGTGGGAGGCTCCTTGGTTCCCTGGTGAGGGACATTGCTAGGGAACCTGCTTACACTGTGGACTACACAGGTCTTTTGTGTGGTCCTTGTGGAAGTGCAAACAAATATTATACCCACTGGGGCTAGCACCCAGGCACTATTCTTTGAGGAGAGGAAATGAGCTGAGTCTATGCCAACACAAGAAAAACCTCCCTTTCGTTAAAAAAAAAAAAAAGATTTATCACACCCAACCTGGGAGTCACCTTAACACTCCTTTTACCCTGGAGAACTGAACAGAGCTCCTTGGCCATACCACACACTTCTAGGTACTCCCTGAAAGCAGACACTCTAAAACACGCCAGCCTTAGTGGCCACTTGAGGGGGTGAACCAACGGAAAAGGGAAGACCTTTCTCTCTCTCTCTCTCTCTCTCTCTCTCACTGTCTAACTCTGCCTGTCAAAAAAGAAAAAGAAAAAAACAGAAATTGAAAAAATTTGTCATCACCCATCCAGCCTTGCAAAAGATGCTTAAGGATGTGCTGCACAGAGCAACACAAAAACATGGTCGGCACTATGGAAGAAGGTAAAGAAAGAAAGTCTCCCAGTAAGAGTACAAAGGAAATCAAAAGTAAAAAAATAGGAATATTTATGGAAAAATGGCAGGGCAAAGTCGTTACTCTCCCAACAAAGAAAAGCCCAGGACCTGATGGCTTCACTACTGAATTCTACCAGACATTTAAAGAAGAACTAACTCCAATTCTTATCAAGCTATTCAAAACGATTGAAAGGGAGGAATCCTCAAAAATTCTTTTTATGAAGCCAGCATCACCTTAATTCCTAAACCTAAAAAAAAGATGCAACTGAGAAAGAGAATTACAGACCAATTTCCCTGATGAACATAAACACAAAAATCCTCAACAAAAATCTAGTCAATCAAATCTAACAACACATCAGAAAGATAATTCACCTGCAACAAGTGGGATTTATCCCTGGTATGCAGGGATGGTTCAACATTCACAAATCAATCAATGTGATACATCACATTAATAAACTGAAGCACAAAAACCATATGATTATCTCAATAGATGCAGAGAAAGCATTTGATAAAATATAATACCCTTCCATGATGAAAACTCTAAGCAAATTGGGTCTAGAAGGAACATTGCTCAACACAATCAAGGCAATTTATGGCAAACCCAAAGCCAGCATCCTATTGAAAGGAGAAAAGTTGGAAGCATTCCCACTGAGATCCGGAACCAGACAAGAATGTCCACTCTCATCATTGTTATTCAATGTAGTCCTGGAAGTTTTAGTCAGAGCCATTAGGCAAGAAAAAGAAATCGAAGAGATACAAATTAGGAAGGAGGAAGTCAAATTATCCCTATTTGCAGATGACATGATTCTATATATAGGGGATCCAAAAGACTCTACTAAGAGACTATTAGAACTCATAGAAGAGTTTAGTAAAGTTGCAGGATATAAAATCAGTACACAAAAATCAACAGCCTTTGTATACATAGACAATGCCATGGCTGAGAAAGAACTCCTAAGATCAATCCCATTCACCAAAAAAACCAAATACCTTGGAACAAATTTAACCAAGGATGTCAAAGATCTCTACCATAAGAAGTACAAAACATTAAAGAAAGAAATAGAAGAAGATACAAAAAAATGGGAAAATTTTCTATGTTCATGGATTGTAAGAATCAATATCATCAAAATGTCCATACTTCTAAAAGCAATTTACAGATTCAATGCAATACCAATCAAAATACCAAAGACGTTCTTCACAGATATAGAAAAAATGACGTTGAAATTCATATGGAAACACAGGAGACCCCAAGTAGTCAAAGCAATCTTATGCAACAAAAGCAAAGCTGGAGGCATCACAATACCAGATTTTTTTTTAAAGATTTATTTTATTTATTTGAAAATCAGAGTCACACAGAGAAAGAAGGAGAAGCAGAGAGAGAGAGGTCTTCCATCCTCTGATTCATTCCCCTATTGGCCGCAATGGCAGGAGCTGCGCCGATCCAAAGCTAG